AATACATAACTAAATATTGATTGAAATTAATTGACCGTTTGAAATGTTATCCAATCTATGATTAGAAGTGACAATAAACTTTAAATTGTTTTACAAAGTGATTACAGATTAATCCCGGGCGGGCGGGCGGCGGGAGACGTGAAGTTACGTCATAGCTCACAGCGTGTCCTCCACCGCGACCCTACGATTGTGTATATCGTTTTAATATGTTACCTGTTGTTATGGTAGTGTTAGCATGCGAAAGACGGTCGCTTATTCAATCTCGTGCTTTCTTTAGTTTTAATTAGTTAAAAGATGCATAAAAGCTATTAAAAGAAATGGAAACCCGCTAATAGTTCGTAATAATACCTAATTATTATAATTTTGAATAAGACCAAAGAAGCCGTTAATTTAAATAGACGCTGTCACAACAACAAAGATCAGCATCATCTTTTCATATCTAGCCGCCGCACCGTGAGCTCGTGTGCATTGTGCATGCTCGCTCCGCTGCGGGCTGCGGCAGACAAACATTTCTCTATACATTTGCATAACTAGTCCACTAGTAAAAGCGGCAATTAGTGCGCATGCGTCGCATATCTATACTAATGTTACAAAACTAAAAAGATTAAACTTTAAAGGAAACTAACAATCCGATTCATAAAATTATTTTTGCTGTTTATTTAAAATTATTTATGGACTATCTCATCACACATGAAATATGCACTACATAACGCATCCACTGAAAAAAGCAAGTAGTAAAACATATATGATAGTTGATACACTACACAATTATAATTAACTTGCCTAGTACAATCGGCAGTGACACACCGATGTAACTTAAATTGTAATTAGCTTTATTTTGCGCTTTAGTGTAAACAATTTAACATAATGCTAATAAAATATTATTATTTTATTATTATTATTAACTTTAAATAAATATAAATTATAAATATAAACACCCATGACTGGAGTAAACATTTGTGCTCATCACACAAATGAATACCCCCAGCGAGATTTAAATATAAATTAAGTATTTTATGAACTTTTCAAACCATTCTTTCCCACGTAGATACGTCAATGAGGCTATTGAGATTTACTTAATACATTTATAATTCACAAGCTAATCCCTCCACGAAATTTAATTTCTTAGAAATTTACCTGGAGGTGTTAACTACATATATCTGAGTCTGACGATCGGCCCATTAGAGGTTGTTAGTGCAAATTACAATATAGGTCCCTGTGGTGGGGTGGCATTATGGCAAGTAGTTTGGTGTATTTGTGTTGGCGGTTCGATATCTCGACATGAGAGAACTGTATAGATTATATTGAATACACCATAAAATTACAATTATTTACTTAATTGTAAACGTATTATAAGTAGTAAGAGTATATTAGGTCTTTAAAGCTCAGATTATATATGTAATTATAAGCTAAATAAAAAAAAATAAAGCCGTCGCGGAACGCCTGGCTTTTGTGAAACATCGAAATTATTTTGTATAGAAAATATGCATGACAGGATGGTTTTTAAAGACCGAAAATATGACATAACTAAAAGCAAATATTCCGATTTTTTTAGATGTTGCATATCAAAAAATCATAGTATGAGTAATTAGGAAAAATAATCACCAAATTCATTTCATAATCGGAAAATATATCCTGTAACAAACAAGGACACACTCCTACTTAGTGATCCATTACCAATTGTTACCAAATAAAAGTCCCTGAGAGCTATAACAATAGTACCGCAACTAATAAAGATTTATAAATTATAAAGTATGAGTCGACGTCCGGTATTTTTAAAGCTGACGTCCAAAGCACTCGCAAGTTTACTTTGTAAGTGGGACGCGACCAACCTGCTCCCTGCTCACTGCGCGCGCGCATCCTAAGCTTCTTCTAATTTCGTCTAAGACAAACAAATCAGTACATCTATATGGGTCACTTCATAGTATTTCACATTTAACAAATTTTACTTATACTTAGTATGTATCTATTCTTTAATATTAAAACTTTTTTATATTCACGTGGATATTTGACATTTTAAATAAAACAATTTTTTAGCGTTTTACGATTTTTTTAATTTATTTGGTCCCAACGTTTCAAATGCGTTTCAGAAAACATGGTCATGAATTAAGGATTATAATACCTCAAAAGTTGTAGTTATTATAGGCGATGCCTCCTGTCTCGCTACACACTCACTCACTCACTCACAACATTGTATAATTTGCAAAAAGAAAGAAATGACATTGAAGTAGCTTAAAATAAGAAAAAACAAATTATTAAGATTGTAGGTTTTATAATTTCAGATTGTTTAACTTGGATAGCTATTTTTATTATTTTTACTAATTTCGCGGTGTTTTAAAATATATAATATAAAAATTCTATTTGGTGTTGTTATATATCTATTCTCTACAAAAAAACTTATATACCATGTATATGGATATTATTATGATTTAAATAGTAAGCCTTGGTCCGTTTTAAATAATTAAAATATAACCGATAAAAATCCAAAAAAATATCTATACACAAATTTAATTTTCGTCAAAACCTCAATAAAAGCTCGGCTATACGTTGTAATATAAACTTTGCCGCTGCAATATTTTAATGCACTTTTATAATAATTTCATAATATTCTTTAAAATATAAGAATTATATGAAGTTTCTCTGTAATTAAGTATGAGTAGTATTTAAAAAAAATCTATTGCAATTCAAACTAGTCCGCTCGCTTGGAAAATTGTCGGTGTTAGCGCGCGCCCACTTTAATTACAAGTCACCTTCAAATCTAATCTTACATTATTATAAAAATATATCATAGTTATAAAATACATTACTTTCAAACGTCTGTAGATAAATAGAATATTTTCTATCACATTTATTTTGGTAATGATACTTTTAAAACTCAAGTTCGACCGTCATCCTCATATATTATTGTAACTTACATTTTTTTCTTATTACTCTGTACTTAAATAATGGTGTGTTTTTTTTTTAAAAAAATGCCCAAAAAAGAATTAAATTATATACGAAATATCACATCTCTATCGACAACAAAAGCTTCATAGTGAGGAAAAAAGCTTTTTTATAAGTATAGCTTACTATAACTTATATTACTGATCCCACGTGTACAATTTCCCTAAATTCCACCTAAAAAGTGTATCGTTTAACTTACCGGTGAATTTTCCGGAACCATCGCAATTAAACCATCACAGATCACTGTCACTGAAAATAAGCTCGCGAGTCCACGAGCGACCCCGACGGAGTCCGCGAGAGCACTGCAGGCTGTTATCAGTTAGATGCGTTATCAATAACTACGCCAATCTAATTTGGTTCGCTCGTGAAACAAATTATACTCTAACCGAACCGATTGTGTGGACATGCACAGCGCCCGCCATTGGTCCTCACCGGCCGTCACCGCCGAGTGCCGCCCGCTCGTCTGCACACCGCAGTGCAATCTCATTACGTATCCTAATTAATTATACTTAGGCGTTTCCTAGAATTTGTTTAATAACAATCAATCTGTTTATAATGATTAGGCTTTATATATTATTATTTCTAATTTTAATTGTAATATATTTTTCTAATTTTAAGTACTTTTATGAATATTAATGGGTAATGCTATTGGATATAAACATTTTATTAGCTTCATATTACGCGCTTTATAGTGTAGGTGGAAAGTATCATAGACGAACCTAATCAAAATTAAGAATTTCTGCACATTTACCTTGGCTTCAAACTTTTGATTCTTTCTTTTTAACCGACTGCGGCGAAGCGTAAAGGAGGGTTATATACATACGTATGTAAGTAAGTATGTACGTATGTATGTCCGACCCTTGTTCCCTTGTAAACGGCTACTAAACGGCAAATAGTTAAAAATTAAAATGGCGAAAGTCAGGTGCCAATTTGTATAACTAGACGAGACGACACGAGATATATTATGTATGTATGTACATTTCGTGGTAAGGACGGAATGTGTATGTCTCCGACTGTTGCTATTTTCCTTCGTCAACTTGTTTTCACACAAACAAAGTCGGGTTTGTTACAACACTTATAACTCGAGAATTGCTGGACCGATTTTCATGGTTTTTGTTCGTTGGATTCGTCTTCGCACTGAATAGCAGAACAACTATTAAAACCTCGGAAAAATTCACGAGAAAAAAAATTGAAAAATAAAATCTATTCCATAGTAAGCGTCACAATGTGCCCAGGGGGCAGGGGCCTGAGCGGAACCTGAGCGAAGTGAGGATGAGTCGCTAGTAATGTGATATAGTAACATGACTATAGTATCAGGCTTACACAAAGTAAGAAAGAAAAATGTATTAGAAACTTTTTATTAAACTACATTCTGACACATCTACTCGTGGAGAGATGGTGCGTTTCATTTAGCTTATATTTCGTGAATGGGACCCATAATTTTAGGTTTCAAACGTAGAATTTTAGGTTATTTATATGGAAATTATTGTAATCACTTTATCAGTAGATTGTCCATATGTAGCGAGCGACGCGTTATGCTAATGTAACCGCGCGGTACCGGAATCTCAAGGATTTATCAAATTCAAACCAGTAATATTATTAACATTTTATTTGTGAGATACTTATATGTCGATTTGTGTTATACGCCGGAAGGAATACACATCAGAATGACACGTATGAGTTATAGTGTCATTTTAACGGCTTGGAAATCTGTCAATCTAAAATACGCACCTTACAAATTACATTCCAAGCAAATGTTTTTTTTTTAGGAAATTTGTAAACAAACTTTTTATTTCAAAGCTAAGTATTAGTATAAATCTATTACTAAATACGTTAGAGGCAGGTACATAGTTCGCTCGCAAGTACCTCTGCGCATACTCTATTATCATATTTCAAGATGCTTTGATATCGAGCATTTGCATAAATGTGGAGCAAACATGTGGGAGGTGACGGATGAGACGTGGACTTTCTACAATCGCTATACCATACACAAACACTGACAGAAAATTAAAAAGTAATGATTGTAGAGCGTCATCTCGTCTACCAGTAGTTACCTACTCCCGATGTATTCTAAATTCTTGCTTCAATACAAGTTGTAGTAAGTAGTACGAGAGGAGCACAATCAGCGCCGGCTGGCAATTGAGAGTCGAGTACAAATCATGATGCGACCAGGAACCGGGCCCAGATGCTATGCAAATATCGGCTTTATCACCGAAGCCGTCGGGCTGATGCCGCGCTCGGGGCGGAAGTGCAAAGGTGAGGGTGAAGACTCGGAGAAAGCGCACAGACCGACGCGAGTTTGCTTTTGTACTGTAATATATATTACAATTAGTGTAACTTTCGCCTTCGACTTTACTTGTAGGTGTGCAAAGTCCTTGTACCATTACAATTTTGACTGCAAAGTGAAGTAGTGAAGGTTGATTTAAATCAGTGATGGCAGTCTGTAGAGCAGATAAGATAGGTTTAATTATGTCATTATCTAATACAAATATTATGTTTTGTCTTTTTGCGTAGGTACTGAGTGTTTTCCAGGAAAATTAAATAGTTAACGATATGCGTAAAAAAATATCTTGTAATATAAGAATTTCGTTGTATTTTTATGGAAAATTATTATAATTTTATATTATCTACATATTACAAATGAACCAAAAATGAGGTTTTATTGTATTTTTAGACAAATCAATAAATAACTTGGACTAGGTAACGTTGCGTTCCAGCGCGGCCCGCTCGTTACAGTGTCACATTATCTCGTAATATGAAGGTAAGTAATTACTTCCTTTTTACTATTTATGTTTTTAAATTTTAAATTACAGTTTAATTACAGTCCAGCAAATAATACTTATTCATGCAACGTAATTTTCGCGACGTAATAGCAGTTCACTACAACTACCTACTGTTGGTAGCCCTCTGTCTCGCCCTCTGTCACAATCATTGCAGTCTTCTTCGCGACCGAATTGTTGCGTGCTAGTTAAGGCAATCGAAAGAAATAATAAGTGAAAATGACCAACTCAATTGTAAGGTTATATTTTATTTTATTGGCGCTCCATATGGAGTGGGTTTTGTTTAGTAATTTCGAACGAAATCAGCTACTTTGTCTACAATGTCGTTGCCATATTTTTTTACTATATACGATGCCGATTGTCGAAAGTCGACATGACTACGTAAGTAAGCTGACAACTCGAGGTGCTTTTGCTATATTTCTTCGGACTTCAGGAAAGGATGCTTGGTTGCAAACAAATTAGCGAGACATTACCTTGTTTTATAAAGACTCATAGAATATGCCTTAGTAACTTAGGGTATAACGCACTGGGCGTGCGCTTTTGATAGTATCTAATTTTACTTCGGAATCTGCAGTAATTTAGTGTGAACAAAGTGTACACCAGCTCACGTGGCCCTTATCGAATGCATATTTTACAGAGAATTGGCTCCTGAATAAGATTTGATATCAACAAATTGGACATGCATAATATGATAAATATTCTTGAAGTGAAATAGTTATGTATACAATATATTGAATTGTCGCACTAACACGTCAGCTCTGCACAGACAAGTTTCATAATATTCTTGTGTCGTAAAAGCAACCCCGTCTCGGCCACTGGCGTCTATTCACAATCGCTCCTCGAAGGCCTTAAGAAAGGCCAGGCACAGATCTAGCTCTAGCACAAGTGTACGTAGAAACATTCATTATGCTTAAAGTTTGCATTTGTGTATATAATTGAGCAGCTAAATATTTTAATAAAAAACTAAAATAGGAGAAAAGTTTCATCTTTCTCTATATAAATATGTACATTTTGGCATCTTCTTAAGCTTGAATGTAAAGGTTGCGTATAAATTGGCTTGCACTTGAGTTAAAAATTTTAATTTCATTTTTTAATAGTGTTTATTAATTCTAAAAAACTTTATTCGTTATTAAACTAAACTTTACTTTTGAAGCTTGTAGAGCAAACCTACTTTATAGAAGATAGGTCAAAGATTATACTTTAGTCTGGATAAATATAATAGCTATACAGTAATAAAAGTAAATACTAAGTTTATTTCTAAATTCTAACCTACAACAAAGTAAGAGCAGAAACATATGTTAGAGCCGGGGACGGTCCGGCGCGCAACGCTAGCATACTGCTCAGGTTGAGAAAATTGTGGGGTGTTTTTACTTGTTCTTCATTATATTATTATTATATTGTGTTTGATTTAAGCTGTAAATGCTTCCCCCGCTGCGTTGATTGTATCTTTTGTATGTAAAAGATAAAAACACCTAATGATGTATCAATCCACCAACACCAGGACCGAACAATTTGTTTAGAGGCTTATTTAAGATGGAAATTTTGCATTCTTTGAATTTTTTAAAAGTTAATAGTTAAGAAATAAAAATGATACTTTAACTAAGTTTTCACATATAGCACACAAAATTCCTGCATTTAGCTGAACATAAATATATTAGATACCTATAGTTGCTATCTGTACATAATTTCATCACTGACATACTTAAGCATTTATAATTTTAGTTACATAAAACGAAAAATCTACTATTTATGGGAGGTTTTTTAGGTATTTTTAAAGAAGATTTTTTTATTTGGAGGTCAGTACATATTATTAACAGTATTGTCACGAGCGACATACAATTCGCAAACAATACTTGTTAAAATATTTAAATAATTATTTTCGTTCATAATATATTTTATTAATAAAACAAATACTTTTATTTAATCCGTACATAATATGTATATCAATAGAAAATTATAGTTTATGTGAATAAGAGCTGCCAAACAAACACACGCGGCCAACTTTAAATAAACTTTCTAAATTGAGTAATAAAAAGTTTGAAAGTTGTATATAAATATTTACAAATACCTCACTATCGATATTTTCATACATTTACATCAGCAACCAGCATTGAAGCAATAATCTGTAAGAATGTAAAAGGATATAATATACGATTACAAGTACGGCTCCAGCGGGTGGGTGGCTGGTGGCTGCGCGTGCGCGTGCGCGAGTGTCTCGTACCGAGATAATCAATATTGTGCCACGATTACAATGACTACATATTTAAGATAATATTGACAATGGGTACCTATTCCTATTGTTGTAGGCGTTAAATTCATATATTAAATTATAAACTAAAAATATACAAATATTATAACCTGAGAGAAACTTTCATAGCTTTAGATGACACTGCTTGAATTAAATATTTCCCAATAATCTAAATATTAAAATGACTTGCATAAATGATTAAAATAAAATATACAAATAGGTAGTAAAACTAAATTTTTATTCAAAATTCTAACACTCTCAATAAAATAAATCTATGTATTAGAGTTATAGAAGCTGCTGGTGTTATGAGAGTTTTATTACAAATCGATTTAATTTTGCATAAAACGTATGTCATCGAAGGCGATGAAATACGTAATATTTAAGATCGTAATGAGACAGTAGAGCACTACGCGTGCGCAGTTTCACGTGAGGAGAAAACCGATAGCTCACCGACTGACTGCGCGCATCTCACTAAACTTGTTTTTGAATCGAAAAATATGTTATTACAACTACTGCTCGTGTACTCGATTAGTCAAAACTATTACATGAAATATGAGTCAGTTTAATAAATGTCTAATTATGAGGATTGATATTTGTTACTGTAATAATTAACTAACTATCTATATATTATTATTCTCACACATAAAGTGATTAAAGATCTTATATTTTCTTTAATAATGGTAGAAAATAGATGTACCACTAGTTATATTAATACTCAATTAATGTAGAGTCAAACAAACGAACCGACAGATAAAAATTGTGTACAAACTATAATTTTGATTTCCCGTTACGCTACTTTGTTTATTAAGTACTATTTAATATTAGTCAGCCATCGAAATCGTCATACAAAAAAACGATATTAATTTAAATAAACATAAATACAACAAATAACATAGCAATATATGTATAGACTATTGTTGCGACAAATTGCGCGATGACCAGGGATTAGGCACAATGTAATCCGTCACATCGCTCATTTGTTCCACTTTACTGGCTATTTTTATGTCACAGTCACTAAACTGCGAACGTGTGATTTATCTTATTGGCCGAGTGTCACGTAATAAGCAAATTACACAAATTGCACTAGTTGTAGATTACACTAAACTGTGCATTCTGATGTATATGGCACTAATAAGTTGGCCTTCAAAAATAATGAACGATAATCTCATTAGCAGGATAGCTATTCTGGTTGCTTACATCAAAAGCAGTTCCAATTCTTGCATGAAGTGAATGTTTATATTGACAGTATCGGTGGGCTCGGCAGTGCCCCCGCCAAGTCGAGCATTTACAGATGTTTGTCACGGTCTTGCTGTCTATTCCCTGGACTCTAAGAGGCTTCCTAATCCGGCTGCAGATGACGAGGCGCTTTAAAAATTCTCAATAGCTAACCCGAGCCAAGAAGTCGATAGTGTTATTGGATAGTATTGTAATGAAGAGTCTACTACTATTTTTCTCCTAAAGAACCTTAATTAAATTTTGATTTTAAGCAAAAGCCATAAGAAAATCTACAAGTAAATAATGTTAATATTTATTTGTTCGATATAAAAATTAGAAAAGTTGTATAGAGTTGTATGTGAGTTGTCGTAAGTAATTACATCTTGCCTATTTAAAAAAAAAACTCGTAAAGTAATAGATACATTTGCAAACATATTTGCGGACTCGGCTCTAAATACCAGCAGTCGCTTCGACTTGATTTGAATATTTAATTGATTATTTTTATAATTACCATAACATCCATACAAAATTCTACATAGGGAAGTCATTAATTAATTATTTAAATTGATTTTTGCAAAAAAAACTATTACATAAAGGTATCTACTTTATTCTAGTTGTGCGAAACGCTTCGCAAACTAATAATCAAGATAATATAATACATTTAATAGATGATCTAGATTCTACCATTACAACTTCTCCTGCGAACACATGGGGTACAAACGTTTACATTAAAAACATAAAAGGTTGATAATGATAAAAATGACTTGTTCGTTCAGTTCGCTCCGGAGCACGGACACGCCGCGTCTGCGCTCGCTACAATTTGATACGTTATAAATATTGTTCCAGTTCATAATTCGTTCCACTGACTCCGACATGTACCTTCTAAATCAGATTTGCACGGCCGTTATTTTAAATTTTCTTATAAATTTATAATAATATAAAATTTAATGCCATGAATTTAAAAGAAAGTCAATTATAATGTATGCGACATGTTCGGTTGCAGAGCTCATAAAATAATAGGATTGAAGTTACACATTTCATTTTTTTAAATATAAATAATATGTAGGGTAGTATTAGGGATATTAACACACAGTCCAGTTCCATGGTAAGCTACGAGGCTTGTGTTATGGATACCAGATAGTTGATACACTACACATATATAACTTTAAATACATACATATAGATAGAAATCATAAACACCCATAACTGAAGTACAAACATTCGAGCTCATCACACAAATGAATTCCCCCACCGGGACTCGAAACTGTGACCGCTGGCACAGCTAGTAGGGTCACTACAAACTGTGCCAAATGTGTCGTCAATATAAGTAAGGGGCAAATAGGCGGATGATCGGCCTGATGGTAATCGACTTTGGTCACTAATAGGCATCTGCAACATGAAGGAGTTGCAGATATGTTGGCTGCCTAAAAATATATTAATTTTTAGTTTAACATAATCTCTAAGTATAGCGATGGTTGCCTGGAACAGACACGGTAACGCTGCTGTGAGCATGACTTGCACCAGCCATATACACGTTTCACGTTAGGTGTTTGATCGTTAGGCAGCGGCCCGCGGGGCGAACCCGGCGCGGGTCACGCACCAGTTCATTAACCATTTATAAATATCGATCGCAAATACACTACCCACAGCGGCTATTCATGCTCATTTATTGGTACGCTGTAAGATAACAATACAAGATAATAATAATAATTAGGATATTTCAGCCTTTTATCGTATTAGTTACGCATAACGCAGGTGCGTTTTTGATCTGCGCAGTAAATTCTATAAACTTCATTTGTTGTTGCTCCGACTTCGGATGATTTATTTCGTCAAGAGTTTAATTAAATAATTGATTGATATTTATAAAAAAATTAGAGTCTGCCTATTTTTTCGAAAGAGCTAACGTAAAAAATATATAACCTGTATTTTGTGCCTGCTAATTAACTATGAGCGAGTGACAGACTTTATACCGCAAAGTTTGCGAGCGATACCGCAAGCGAAAGCTAACATTCATAAATCTATACCTACATATAATAAAATCGTAACTAAGCCGAATCTGTACATTGAATATTTTTTGGAATTTTTCATTGAAATAGACTTTATTATCGATACAGAGGCCGAATCTACAGTTTTTAGAATTTTTGTCTGTCTCTGTCTGTCTGTTCACCATCACAGAAAAACCACTGGAGGGATTTTAATGAAATTTGGTATGGTGATAGCTGGTTATCCGGGTCAACATGTAGGATACTTTTTACCGCGGGAAAATATCTCATTTCTGAGAAAAAAAAAACAAAAACTGCAATGTAAGAGTATACTAATATGTAAAACCTAAGAATTAAGTTTTTCTCATTTGAACGCGGGCGGAGCCGCGGGCAATGCTAGTTAATCATAATAGCATTATTAAAATTATATTCGAAATATCCCCCGCTTACAACTTTACGTCATTTCATGAATGTTACACTCCTTTCTTAAAGTAGTATTAGCGAAATTTATTGCTTTAGAACCGTTAAAAATTACTATCGACGATCAAAGTCTAGGAGACGGCGGGCGAAAGTAAACACAAACGTTTTTTTATGTAAAGTAAGGTCAGTTATATCAATTCTTATTTAACACTAGCGGCTCACCCTCGCTTCGCTCGGGTTCACCTCTAGAAAAGCACAAACAGGTCTATCCTACGGGATCCGTTCATTTTTCCGGGATGAAAAGTAACCTATTGTTTGACCAGCAATATAAGGTATCAGCATGCCACTTTTTACTAAATTAGGTGCATAAGTTGTTGTGTACTAAGCTGTATAAGGTACTTTAGTTTTATAACTATCCCACGGAAACTTCAATTATCGAACGAAAAGTATCTTAGATGTAGACCGGGGATATAAGGTACTGCTATGCAAAATTTCATTTAAATCGGTCCAATAGATTCGGAGATTAGCCCGTACAAACAGACAAACAGACAGAGAAACAAAAAAATTGAAAAAAATCTGGATTTGTTCTATTTGTCTTCTTACATCCCCCTGACTCGGTTTTTAGCATTTTTTTTCTATGTTCGTAGGAGTAACAGGAGCGATTTGATAGAAACAAAAATGCATTACTGGGCTTCTACAAACTATTATTCGCAGTGTCCAGTCCTGCATTTCTGAAAACAATAATTTAAAAAATAGCTGGATTAAAAATATCATTTGAATAATATTTTATAATAATTAGCTGTATTAATATATTTTTGGAAATCTCTTAACGACGCTCTTTCATTTTTATTAGAAATATACTTAATTTATTAATTTTCCAGGAACATATATTTCTCTCTCGGTACAATCAACAGATCTGTTCGATCTTCAGAAGCCAATTTGCTAGAACTATATCTAATATCTTTCTATCGATGTATCAACTAAAACGTCCAGAGCATAAATAATCAAATAGAATGTTTAATAAAATCTTCTAACACCGTTAGTTTTCTGAAGTATGAATAATCAATCTTGTAGATTCTCACGCTATTAATTAACTAGCCGTTCTCGATGACGCCGCTCGTCGCACGACGAACCAACATAAAAAAGCTCTTCATATTATTTCTTAGTTTGCTAAACTTTTGTGAGCTTTGCAGGTGATCTCGCATAATAAGTGTCACTTTAGATTGTTATCTATACATATAATAAAATTGTATAAGTCGAATCTGTACATTAAATATTTTTTGGAAAATATAATTGAAATAGACATTAGTATCGATAGAGAGTTCGAATCTATAGTTTTTAGAATTTTTGTCTGTCTGTCTGTCTGTTACCGCATCACGAGAAAACCACAAGACAGATTTTGATGAAATTTGGTGTGATGATAGCTGATTACCCGGGTCAACATATAGGATACTTTTTACCGCGGGAAAATATCTCATTTTTGAGAAAAAATACAAAAACTGCAATGTAAGAGTATACTAATATGTAAAGCCTAAGAATTTGGTTTTTGGTCATCTGAACGCGGGCGGAGCCGCGGGCAATGCTAGTGATATATATTGTTATTGTTTATCAAATAAAACGAAGATCAGAACTAACGAACAATTATTAATGTGAATGTATAGTTATACATATATTTATTAATATCGATAAATTAGTTATAACCATATACTAATATTATAAAGAGGTAAAGTTTGTGAGTTTGTGAGCTTGTAGGGGGTAATCTCTGGATCTACTGAACCGATTTAAATGTTTCGTAAGAAAATAGTTTGATACCCTGGGAAGGACATCGAATACTTTTTATCCCGGAAATCATCCGCTAATGGGGTGAAAATGGGGATGATTGAATGATGAATAGCACAGCATTCTTGGTTTGATTAAATGTCATTTATATGTTTAGCAAACGTCAAATTTTACTTTTTGAATTAAGGTACAGTTTCTTAGTTTTTCACTGAAAAAAATATCTCGTGTGATGAGGGATACAGACAGAAATATCGAAATGTATGTAAATCCATATATGGTAGGCCGCCAGGTAGTTCATTACCTGAGCTGACGCATTGCAAGCACTGATTGAGACTGACTGACCACTGAGTGGTGTGCGAGTGGACCTGGATACACTTTACAGGAGAGTGCTAATAATCTAGATACGCATTTCACACCGCACTTAATTAAACGTTTACAAGTGACAACAGTAACCCAACGTTGCATTCCGAGACTATATTGTGACTATAAAACTATAATTACCGTTAAGGAAGATGTCGTTTCGCAACTAGTTTTCTCTCGCGTGCTAATGAAATGTGTTACATATACACAAAGGGACAAACACATTATGAGCTTTAGTTATTTATGTTTTTAAGGAAATTAATTAACATAGACTAATAAATTATTTCTATTTTAAAAATCATTGCCAACGATTCAGTAATTACGGTAATTTAAATAACCCAAATGGTGGCAAGCTGTTCTAGTGGTTTTCCTATAATTTACATAAAATAAGCTCTGTTATAAAAAAGTTTTAATGAAGACTCAATTTTTTTAATTTATCTGTATTTCTCGATCAAGATGTAAGAGTATGATTGATTATTACTATCAAGTGTGAGTGCATTTGGGTGCAAGTTTCATCAAATAAATAAAGAGCGATGCATATCTAAATTTATCTGACAGCGGGCATCTTCTCATCTTCGAGCCATCGCCCAGCGCTTTCATTGCACGAACTCTTACATCACCACTTGCGATACCATCTTCTTCTGTCACTGCTAATTATGCAAGTTCGTCAAATTGGAATGACATTTCTTAAGAGGTATTTCTTAAAAATAATTTTAAGTTCACTAATTAAGTCACACGTGTAACTTAATAAGAAAGTTTCTTCGAATTCTGGTGTAGTTGTTAATTTAAGTAAAGTTAATTATTCCTAAATTCCTTTCGTCCAGTCGAGCAACTTGCACCGGCTCGTTAGTCGTTACGAATCTTTAAACCCGTTTGTTTAGTATTGTTAGGGCACAAAACGCGACGAGTCATTCTAATTGTGGGTCGCCTGTGATATCACAAAAAAGACCATGATTTTAAATGTGGCCATTGTCAAATCAGAAACACCTTTCAAATACTTGGAACGGTAAATATTTTTAATTCCTAAAAAACCTTCTTCTCTCATATCTGGCAATTTGATAGTACCTGATAACATTTTTTTATACTTTAAATAATATCACCTTGGGTGGTTCAAGGCGGATGGAACAATCTATTAAGATCAAAACGATAGTTCCTTTCAAGTCAATTGATGGCACAATCGGGCTCGGTTGTATTGTCCCTTCATCGGGCTCGGACTCACCTGGTGGGTTTTGGTCAAAACTGTTCGAGGGCAGACAAGCGCGCGCTCATGCTCGCGCGGTCGACGACCTGGCGACTAACTGTTTAGCACAGCACTCACTACACACCGAGTACTACTGACCGACACGTCTCAACTTTGCGAAAGTTCGGAGTGGACTGATCGCGGGACGCCGCCAGCGCCGCGTGCGCCTGCGGCCTTGACCGCCCCCCGCGCGTCGCCTTCGGGGGCGCGGGGAGGGGAGGGGGAGGGGACCCCCATGCGCCAGAGAGTCAGAGACGGGCCCGGCGCATCCGCAGGCCGCAGCCAAACGTCGACCCTCAGACCTTTTGCTTTTTAAGGCAGGTAGCCTCCGTTATCCCACGGCAATTTACCTTAACACTAAATATTATGCAATTTTAAAAGCTTTGAAAGTTATAAAAGAAAAGTATTTTCATAAGTTCAACTGCAAAGTCACCATTTTTGCTTACTAAGCAAAAATTAATTTTGAAAACTAATGGTTTCGATGATGTTAACACGACTGTATAATCTTTATTTCTTTATAACTATTGACATCGACCTTTATTAAAATTACTTATTTAAAGTAGTAATTGGTATGTACTTGTTAATATTTTTGCGATGTTGTTTTTAGTTGTTTTTTAATTACAAAACGTGTTGAGGTTATGTATTTAGTAGTTCAAAGATAAATCGTAACCTCCAATCGTTCTATCTGATGATCATATGTTTTGGGCTGTTGATCATATAAGACATGATTATAGACTGTATTGATGTGAACATTAATAAAGAAGAGTGATGAGAAATGTATGTATGTATTCAGCCCTTTTTAACGTCTCACTGCTGGACACGGCCCTCTCTTACATACGAGGAGGATTAGGCCATAGTCCACCACGTTGGCCAAGTGCAAGTTGGCGGACTTCACTTGTCTTTCGAAAACTTGATGAGAAGTGACCGGACAAAATAATTTTATAGCTAGTGAAGCATCCTCTCTTCATTCGGGCTCATCACTACGTAAACACAAGCATACCGATGTCACAGCTCCAACTATCTCCATAACGAAAATCATGTCAATCGATGTCCCCTGTGATTGTTTCATTATAACCTGTCTTCTCGTGAGAATAAGATAATTTCCTGCGGTAAAAAGTATTTTATCTCATTTGCCAAACCTCTAAGGGTTTCCATACAAAAAAAACACATCAATCCTAATTGATCAGTTTCGGTGTCAAACAAGGATAAACAAACAAATACAGTTTCACATTTATAATATTAGAATGGATTTAAATAACGTCGTCCTAATCATTTGTGTATGTTGATATAAAAAAGAAAAAAAAAGAAAGTTTATTAATGTATTCCCAGGTTGTTCTGAATATGGAAAAAATATGATTTATATTGAGCTTATCTCGACTTACTATCCTTGTAAAGAAACTCATATCAGGAACAAAAACTACGTAGCTTGACTGAACCTGTCCATGGATCATGATGAGTTGAAGGTAAACTTTACGTAATATAGTTTTTAAAGAATTTTTTATTCTTTTAACGAACATACGCACACTATAAGTGAACAAGTCAACAAGGAAGTTCCTAAGAACATGAATGCTTAAATGTATAATTACCGAAATAGTTTTACTAGTACATAATCGTAGTTATAGCGCAGAACTGGCAGTTGACCACGTCTGGAGCTACGACAAAGGACAGCACACCGATCTATTGCTTTTACACAATACTATTCGTTATTATTAGAGCCGTATGGAGCAAATTACAATATAATAATTTTAATTTGCAAATTTAACTACAGTAACAGGCATGAGCAGTTCTGAAACCGGTTGCACTAAGCTAGGATTACTTACCATTTTATTCTAAGACTTTCAAATGCAAGGTTTCACAGTTTAAAACTTCAAAGATAAAAAGTATATTGAATATAAGGATAATCCTGGTTAAGGAATACGTATATTCTTTGAATGTTTTCATCCATTGCAAAAAAAACGTTTATCAAACTAACAGATACCAGAAAAAAACATATTATGTGCATCCGCCTCATACCGCCATAATCTGCCTATTGAGAAGGCACCTGCCTTCTTCTTAAAGTTCCTTAAAAAATAAGATATAAGTCAAATGTTTGATGTTACAAAAATAATAATTTTTTGTTTGATGTTAAATACATAATTTCGTTACCTGTAAAGCTACCATAATATTTAGCTTTATCTTCTGTGAGATACATGAAGGGGAAAAACATATCGCGCTTCCTCTACACTTTGCATGCACAAGGCGTATGTATGGTACCAATAGCTTCCTTCCAAAATTTACATCATGAATTTTGAAGGTGAATTCTTAAATGACAAACACGGGTCAAATACACTCGATCTGATATACATCCTTCTTTTTTATAATCGTAATATTTTAAAAGCAATTAATGTCAATAATCAATATATGTAGTAAGTAGGTAATAACCAAAGTGGTTTTCCTTAATTGTAATGTGACAAGTATGTGAAAAGGAAGTTGTTGTGATAGTAGCTTAGGCGATTTGAATAAGTATGTAGTTTTATTTTATAATTGCAAGCGTAACAAAGATGGCGAGCACAGGGAAGGCGGCACAAGTCACAAGCACGAGCACGACTGTCGTGTTCTACGAGTATAATTTGGTGTAATTAATATTTAGATGATAGACGTTGCAGTGAAATTATAAACTTTAATTATTCCTTAAAGGATTTAGTAAAAACAACGGGGCCATGGTGGAACTCTACAAGACTCTTTATTTATCTCTAAGCTATACCTAAAGTTTAGAAATCTATACCTACAGATAAATAAAATTGAAGTATCTGTTTGTAATGTCAAAATAACAGCGTTTTACTAAATGTATATGAAATTATATACGGTACTTATAAGGAAAACACATTTTTTTTATTTTTTGTCTGTCTGTGTGTCTATCTATCTGTCTGTCTATCTGACTGCTCTGGTGAGTCGCTAGTATATACATAAAAGAGGTTTTCTCTCATACTTTACAGAAAAAATCTAAGTCTTTAAGTACAATCTTTAAAATCCAATAGTGTACGGAACCCTTCTTCAAACTATTTTTTTATTACTATTCTAGCGCGATATAACTATAAATTCGATTTTTTTATTTCTATAATACTTAGGTGCTATAATTACATGTATACCTGTGGAGTTTTTATTCCTAAAGTATTAAAAATACTCATAAATAACGTTAGAATTATTATAGATAGGTACAAAAAATATTAACAATCATATTTATATTTTTTTGTCTGAAATAAACTCGCTAACGTGATGGTGTAAAAGAACCGGATACAGAAAAGTTGGTGGTCCAGTTGAGAGGTGGTGATGATAAAACAGGCGTCGTGACTCACTTACCAGCCGAACTTAGATGGGGCTAGCACTAAGCATAGTATGATATGCAGCCCAATGGGTATAGCATGAATCGCACTTGCCCTAGCTACAGCGCGGGCTATCGCCGCATCCGGTTTCGATCTCCCATGGTATAAATATCGCCCTGGTTGCTCTCTCTCGACACTTACCAACAAGTATGGTCTTGTAACATACTCGTACATACTTCTTAGATCTACAATAATGTTGACCGAATATATACCTAGTACATTTTTTTCAATAAAATACTTTGGCATTTAAATAACACCAATACTCGGGTCTAATTATATGTAAAGTAGATGCAGGCGCCACAAATAAGGAAATAGTTTTAATTTATTTAATATTAAAACTATAACATTAATTCGAATGACCTCGTCATATATGATTATACTTTTTTTTACTGCCTCGGTGGTGTAGTGGCTAGCATGTACGGTTGCACACCCGGAGGTCCTGGGTTCGAGTCCCGGGTCGGGCCAAGTTTAGTTATTGAGTCTTCCTGTATAGTAAGTCTCAGTAACAGCCCGGAGTTGGGAAGTTGGCGGTGTTTCACCCCCGTGCCTCGGAGAGCACGTAAAGCCGTCGGTCCTGCGCCTTAACTCTCACCGGTCGTGTCGAGTGGTCGTCCCACCGGAGTATGAGAGTGATAGGAATAGAGAGTGCACTTGTGTCTGCGCGTACACTTGAGCACTATAATATCTCCTGCGCAGTTGGCTAATCTCATTGAGATTGGCCGCCGTGGCCGGAATCGGCTAGGAGAACATCATCACTTTTTTTTGACTCATACAAAAGTTAATTCATTAGAAAATTGAAATATTGTAAAAGTCCAGAACCCACAACCAGACTCTGTCCTCAGTAGGTCACGTATCGTGATACGTATACGATAGTTTTTCAAAATCTAGTTGTGCTATTTGGACGACTATAACATAATTAGTACCAGAAGATAGAAAGTACGGGCTCAAGTTTTTTTGTTTCAAGAGTTCAATATAATATAGCATAAATGGAGTTTTCGTTATGTATCTAAACAAAAACAAATATATTTCGTATATTTGTTTTTTTTAGACACATAATTTGTTAGATTGTGACGTAGTGTTTTTGCGACTTTAAAAGTAAAAACTCGTTTTAAATTATCTATGTTTTGTTCATTTGCTTTAAGTTTAAAGGTTCATGTAAAAATAACAACAGTTGTTTTTGTGTAGAACTGATCCGCAGGTCGGTTGGCGCAAGTGCAGTATTTAATTAAATAATACTTTTGACTAGGTATATTTTTTGCACAAACACATACAAAATGTATGTAAGATCGCTATAGTAAACGTATTAAATTCCAATAATATACTCGTAATTATTACTCATAGTAATAATATTTATAACGATAGTAACTCTACCCGTCTGCCTTCATCACGCCTCTGAGGAGATGAGTTCCTGTGACAAAGGTAGGTAAATGGGAAACATTACTAGTACAAACATGAGCTTTGACATTTGATACACATAAACAGATATCATCTTATTAAAGATTAACAGTAGTAAATAATGAATCTAATATATTTAAACGAGTAATTCTTGTATATACATACATAATATATATAATCTGAATCTCGGAAACGGCTCCAACGATTTTAATTAAAAAATCGTTGGAAATTAAAATTTTATAAATTGATATGGATTAGTTTTATGTCTGGGAAAACGCGTGTTTTCGAGTTTTCATGCGATTTTGTTTCGCATTATTCTACGCAAAATATGGTTGCTAATTCGCACGCTAGAACATAAGCATTGTGGTCAAACGGCCCAGGCACAAGTTTGTAAGCCACAGGTGTCTAGGTTCGTATCCCGGTCGGATGCGAAGTTTTTACTTTTGTTTTTTTTTTCTATTTATTCAAATTTTAAGTTTGTTTTTTTTTTAATGTTTTTTGGCCATAAACTCCGAGCGAAGCTCGGTCGCCCAGGTACTAAATAGTAAACAGCAGAAGGCAGATTCAGGGCGGATCGCGAGTGTGTTGATGTTTTTTCTTATTGCGGTATTCTTACAGGCCGTAGGGAGTAGGGAGTAGGGAGCGGGGCCGCGCGAGGCGGAGGTATAAATAGAAGTACAAATAGAAAGCTATACTCACGATAACCGCTGACGAACCTACATTTTTTTTACTTAAACACGAAAGTGTCAAAGATCGTAATTTAAATATGATGTATACTTACTAGTACTGTCTCACTTCGCAGGCATCATCTAAGAAAGCAATATCCTCAACGAGCCAGTATTAAACGCATCTCCTGTCTTTTCCATTTCATGCACTATCTTTTTATGAACAATTACGTGTACATTGGGAAAGAAAGCAACACCAACAAACACATTTATACATTTATAATAATATAGTATCGAATATTCATGTAAACAAACTTTGAGCTGAAGAGATACAAGGGGTTAGACTAGATGTCATTCTACAATTGTTGGAGAGTTGAAATATTAAAAATATTATTGAAAGGAATTGCAATTTAATCGTTATGTCGTGGACTAACGATTGGAGAATAACATCTTGTCAAAGACCTCAGTTTCGATTCATGATACTTCATTTCCTTCTATATTTATTGAAACCATTTATCATATATTACGATCAATCTCGCTCATTGGCTTTGCTTGTTTGTAGACAGTTCAGGATAAGAAAATAAACAATTATCACAAGCGAACATGAAGAGGGCACCTCGAGGTGACTTTGTTTGAAAGTGAACAAATATATAAATCGTTAGTTATTACACAAACACTTATGTATATAAGAGATACTTCATAGTTATCTTTTTTCATATTCATAGTATACTAGCAGATCCCGCGGCTTCGCTCGCGCTAAAACTACAAAAAAATCTCTAAAAAGGTAGTTTCATACAACCTTTTATCCTCTATTTTAACCCCTTATAGGATGAATTTCGAAAAATGCTAAAACACGTATTCATTTAATTTTATTGAAAAACATTAATACCGAGGTTCAAGTAATTCTGATTATAAATATTTTTTTGTGTTTTATGTGTTTTCCCATAGGAATTAGATAATTTCCCGCGGTAAAAAGTAGCCTATGTCACTCTCCAGCGCTGCAACTATCTCCAAACAAAAAGCCACGCCAATTCGTCACTCCGTTACGACGTGAAAGAAGGACAAACAAACAAACAAGCACACTTTCACATTTAATTGTTTGTGTAATATTAGTACCTATAGATTGTGATCGAGATAGCTTCAGTAAATATAATTTTTCCATTTTATCATTTATGTAGCAAGTAATTTATTTTGTAGGTTTTCATGTACGAGTACAAACTTGTTCCTATGATTTCATAACACTATAATTATAAAATCCTATTATTTGGAACATTTTAGATGTTACTATTTGTACTGTAGTCTTAAAGTAATCAATCGTCTCTACGCGATTTTCAAATATATACTAAATCAATTTAACTATGTTCTTAAAATCGATCACTAATCACTGGTGAGCCAAACAAATTGAAGCACAGGTTGATAATGTTGGTTTTGTTAGATTTACGCCTGCACTAAAATTTTGTTCATATTGTTGTCTGTCTGTGAAAGCCGAGGACATCGGAATGAATTTGTATAAAGCTTTTTGGTTTTCATATAATATAATAATCCGTATTATATATGTATGTATATAAATTTGAATACAACAATTTTGTTACAATTTGAACTGCCTGTTCTACGTGTCCATGTAAAGTGAGGGTCATGGTAAATGGAGATGGACTAAATAAAAATGACATACGATTTAAGCCACAGAAATTATCTGGTTATTAAATGAGCTATTTAACTTACACAGTAACTTGAGAGTACAAACTAATATTAAATGCACAATAAAATTATTTTTCACCAAATTCACGAGAAAATCGAGCTGATGCGCCAAAGTTACGTTTTGACATTTAAATAGTATGAAAACGAATCCGGAATCACCTTTACAATAATCAGTGCTACTTGTACAATATACCAATATACCGCGAAGGTCACATAAATTTATAAAATTATCTCGACTCTTGAATTTTCTCCAATGCGCTGATGTATGCGCGAGCGCAGCGAGAAGAGTTGTTTATAAATAGCGCTTGTGCAGCGACCGGTTGTTTACTGCTGTGCATAAAGCTCAGTTTTACGATGGAGCAGCTTTAAGCTCCGAGCAGTTAAACAGTAATATATCAAAGACAATATTTTTAGGAATAACATACAATAACATAATACACACTATAATTACATACATATTATATAAGCATAAATACAATTATATATAACTAGCATTGCCCGCGGCTCCGCCCGCGTTCAGATGATCAAGAACCAAATTCTTAGGTTTTACATATTAGTATACTCTTACAATGCAGTTTTTGTATTTTTTCTCAGAAATGAGATATTTTCCCGCGGTAAAAAGTATCCTATATGTTGACTCGGATAACCAGCTATCATCATACCAAATTTCATCAAAATCTGCCCAGTGGTTTTCTCGTGATGCGGTAACAAAAATTCTAAAAACTATAGATTCGGACTCTGTATCGATAATAATGTCTATTTCAATTAGATTTTGCAAAAAACATTTATTGTACAGATTCGACTTAGTGACAATTTTATTATATGTATAGATAATAGTTATTAACATAGATCACTTCAAAACGAGTACATAATATCAAGAATAATAATAGGTAACATAATTTTTGTTATCACAATATTATACATTATATAACGTATAACGTACGAGTATACAATATTCAATTTAAAAAAATACAATATCAGTGAGAGGTTTTAAAAACATAACGACGCTATCTCCCTTTCATTGGCGCGGTGTAAAATAGAAATATACACGATTTATATGTTTTCAAACTCATCTCTAAGAGTCGCGTCGCTAGAAATAAATAGTAACACGTAAGGCCGCGGTCCACGAGTCACCACACGCTTCAAATATTATGCTCGTGACAGATTTATTATATACAGAAACAAAATAATTTAGTAAACACAAGACAAATGTCATACAGACTGCGGGAGACTACTCTCCAGGTAGATATTATGTAAGTCCAGCAGCCGCAGATGCTTCGAGAGCCGCAACGATGTGCGCACGCGCAGAACTTGTTGCCATCAATTCTATACTGAATATCAATCTGATTATGAAAACTATAAATATATTTTTTACTGTTTACGTTAAATTGGATTTATTTAGATGACTTTTAAAATGTTTGCGATTAAACCCCCTTTAGTGGATAAAAGCTTTATGTCGATATGTCAGAAGTGAGTCCCGTAGGCGCCACGTTTTATGTGGAATATGCGTTGTTGTCTTTATATATCGTCAAAGGTTTTTATGCCTTACGATATTTTTACTTTTATAAGCCAATATTTCATACTATATTAAACTACTATCTTGGACCATAAAAGTCATAGCAAAAATGTGAGTAAACAACGGTAGTTGTCAGAGGTTCAGTAAATATAATATTAAATATAGCAATTCTTGTATACATACATTTATATCGTGTATATCGGAAACGAGTCTAACGCTTTGGATCGAGTTTTGTATTTAGATAAAGTTTTACTTTTTTCACAAGCAAAGAAACATTCATATATATTATAATAAAATTCAGAGTCGAATCTGTACAATTAATGTTTTTTGGGAAGTCTTATTGAAGTAGTCATTATTATCTATACAAAAGTCTGTCTGGGAACGCATGACGAGAAAACCACTGGACAGATTTTGATGAAATTTGGTATGATGATAGCTGGTTCTGATCCAATAATATTTAAGATACTTTTTACAGCGGCAAAATATCTCATCTCTGAGAAATCTATACAAACCTTAAAACGTAGGGATGAACCCGAGCGGAACGAGGGTGAGTCGCTAGTTGTCTTATAAAAACGTCAAGCGAAGCTCGGTCGCCCAGGTAGGTATATAGTATATACGTAATTAGCTACAGGTGTCGTATATGATGACAAACATTTCAAATGAAAACAATGTATATTTGAAATAGAATAATTGAAGGAACAGCTTTTAATATTTCTGTATCTTGTAAAAGTATTTTTAGACTTTTAACAGGTGTAACAGTTTGACTGCGACTTTTCGTGTTAATATTTAAAAGAAACGAGTAGATATAAATGTGCCTTAAATGATTATGACGTGAAGACATCGTCCGTGTCGTGACGTCGCGCCACAGGACAGGACACTGGACACTGGACAGTGGTTCACTTGCGGAAGAGGAAGAGCGCTGGTCAGCGAGTGAGGGCCGAGGGGGGACAGTCTGTGGTGAGTAGAGGTGCGTCCGCTACCGTGTGTCTACGTTATAATTTAGTTACAAATTAGTATCGTTTAAAGTTATAAATAGTGACTTCAGTAACTTTTTACAATGCACCTACTGTTAAACAAAAGCACTTTGTATCTTTGCTACGTGAAAGAAGTATCATCAAACTAAATACGCATTTTTACTAATAGTATGTTTGTCACCAAATATAAACGAATTATATAAATATATTGAAGCTGAGATTCCTACTTCAAAAAAGAAACAATATTTAAGAAATTTTCCCAACAGTTAAAAAACAGCGCAACCAAGTAAGCAAAAACATAAGATTACATAATATAATAGAATTTACTAAAAAGGCTATAATAAAACATCTGCAGGTAGAAAGTGATAATATTTTTTATGTACAGGTAATTAAAGGATCTGGCGCGATCTGTCAGTCGCAGTGAGATCTCTCCGTTATCTCAAAATAAACAGCGGCGTGTGTGCTTGCTCTCTTATCGATGATGTTCTCCTCGCAACTGAAAGACGCCGTCGCATCACTTCCACTAGCGTAATAATTTAAGTTTAAACTCCTTAAAAAAAATTTTTTTATTAAAATTTTAATGAAAAAGTGTTATTTGGCTGATCCATTCTACTTTTTTTCCATGCGAGCAAATGCAGATAATATAATTAACTAGAGAAAGATAGAGAGACACTTGTTTACCATAAAATGTTAGGTGTTTTATTATGACATGGATAAATGAATAACCTTTTACAGATTTCATTATACCTCTACAATTACATGTAATACCTATTATTACTTATTTTTTGTATTAAACCGTAAACGTCAATTAAAAACTGCTTTTATTTACGCTCTCATTACATAATACTAGTAAGTACTTAATATTACATAAATCACAGATCACAACACATTATACTAGCATAAATAAACGTTTCAGCGACGACGGCCGAAATTAATGACTTGGGTCGCCGGTCGCCGGTCGCCGGTCGCCGGTCGCCAGTCGCCGGTCGCCGGTCGCCGGGGCTAGCGCGGCAGCGATACCGAGGTGATTGGATCACTGCCATCATCTGCAAATATTCATTTCTATTTGAAGGGATTTATGCCATTGAATCTAAAGAAACCTTTGACATACCGTCTATAAAGCCATGTTAGGCCCCAAGTTTTTATTTTCAGTTAAAAAAGTATTGCCTTTGAAGAAAATAAAGTGAAATAAAAGCATCACAAAATATTTCAATAATAATTATTAAATAGTATGCTATAAGTATCGAATTTCTTTGTCTTAGATTATGATAGTCTTGCGAGTTAGACAGAAACACATTTTTAGACCATTGACTTCAGCTACTATGAAACTTAACTAAACTTACTACTCGCTAGATCGTAGACCTTATCTGTGCCTTCGAGCTAAGATGAAGGTCAAGAGTGAGCCCATTTCTAATAAAAAAAAACTTCTTACTTTTGAATATATTCACGATAATATAGTAATATTGTACATGATATGGGGAAAAATCTGAAATTTTCCGTGCATTTTTTGTTGATTTTAGCATAACTGGAACTGCCCGAACAAAATGTGATCGTGATGTCTTATAGAGATTAAGAAAGGCCAAAACAATAGCTGCACTTCGAGACTCTATGTTTTTTGAGCGCACGTCACTGTATCCGCTAACAGATCTCAGTTCCACATTTAAGATGATGAATGATTTTTTCAATTTGTAAATTGTAGCACATGCTTGTAGCGCTATTTTTGCAGAGAATTAAAATGAAATGAATGAGATGAGACGACCACAAGACGAGGCACTGTTCATTGTGGTGTTTGTCTAATTATGTGTAAGAGACAGGTAAATCGACCTATCACGCATAAGGTCCGGGGTTCGATTCTAATCAGGGTCGAAAGTATGATTGAATACATATGATAATACCGGTGTATTGTGTAGATTTTGACGGCGAGAAAAATGAAATGTGATTTTATGTGACCAGCGTTAACATTATTTTCTTCCGGAATGTATCTTCCTTTTCTACACTATAATATGCATGTATTATACATATAAACTTTCCTCTTGAATCACTTTATCTATTGCTGAACTGCATTAGAATCCGTTGAGTAGATTAAAAGATATAAGCGAACAGGCAGCGGAAGCGACTTCATTTTATACTATGTAAAGGAGTGTCAAAACTACAGGGTGTACAGAATACTGTTGCGGCATGACGCGTGGACGAAACGAGGGCGGGTCTCTAGTGAATGAGAAGCGCAGGCGCATCTGTCGCCGCCCGGTGACCTACTAATGTATTTATACTAACAGGTTCATTAACTGATGAGCAGATTAGCCGCGCGGCGTCGTGTGTACATTGCGATAGCAAGTGTTACCTGCCAAAGTGCCGACGTACCGGAACACTGCAGTGTAGGCGTCGCGTTGTGCGTCGCGGTGCGCACTTATTCTAATAAATATCTATACATAATTTGGCTCACTATTACAAGGTTCTGTGTTACAATTTTAGTACTTATTTAGTTATGAATGCTACAAAGTTCTATGTGTCATTAGCTACAGTTTTGCAAAAACAAACCACTAGATAGCGGCACTATAACTACAAAATATTCAATTTTACATAGTTCTATGTTGTTTTTTTAAGATAACATAATAAGGAATTCTATGTAAAAATTACTAAACTTCATTAAAATTAACATAGAATCTTGTAATAGTGAGCCAACGAATTATAATAAAATTGTTACTAAGTCGAATCTGTACATTAAATATTTTTTTGAAAATCTAATTAAAATAGACATTATTATCGATACAGAGTCCGAATCTGTCGTTTTTAGAATTTTTGTCTGTCTGTCTGTCTGTTACCGCATCACAGTAAACCACTGGAGGGATTTTGATGAAATTTGGTATGATGATAGCTGGTTATCCGGGTCAACATATAGGGTACTTTTTACCGCGGGAAAATATCTCATTTCTAATAAAAAATACAAAAACTGCATTGTAAGAGTATACTAATATGTAAAACCTAAGAATATACTTTTTGGCCATCTGAACGCGGGCGGAGCCGCGGGCAATGCTAGTGATTTAATATAATACGTAATCATTGGAAAATTTATAATGTATAATAATGTAATTAAACACGTTATATAATAGGTTATCTTATTTACTAACTGAAGAAATTAACAGATTTCATGAACATGATAGCGCTTGATTCTACAGGATCAACCCTGCAACTGATCGAAACTAGAGTTTTGCTTATATACCTAATAAAATTGAAGCTATATTTATGTATTTATTTATTTCCTCTTCAAGTGATTGTCATTAAATTACATTTTCAGATGTTGATTATTACCTCCTCGGTGACAACTCTCCGACCTCGGCATTTTATCGCACGTAAGCAATCGAAGTGCTATTTTGTAGCTGTTTACTTGTCTCATTACCTTTATAGTAAAGCCTTTTGTCGGGTTGGAGAATTTACATATTTTTTTGTTTTTTGTCTTTTTGCAGTAGAAAAGAAACTATTTCTAATAATATTGAATATTTTATTCCATTTGTCACTGTTTTCGTTATACTGATAGCTCTCACGAGTTTGCTTGAACAATATTCATCAGGTCGGATCCTTCACCATAGATTAAATAATAACTACTTCGTTAGCACTCCATTGTGTGCGCAATTTCTACCAATGAATAGATGCACAATTTAAGAAGAGCTTCTCAACTCTGTGCTATGTTCTTTTAACTTTTACTTATACTGTAAATGAAAAGAAAGTTGTATTTATTGTTTAGGACCTAGAGTGTCATTAAGAGATAAGTTTAAAGAAATAAAAATATTGACAGTTGCTTCTCAGTACGTGTACGAAAATGTTATGTATGTGCGTAAAAATATATACGAATTTCCCAAGAAGTGTGACATGCATAACATAAATACTAGGAGCAAACACAAACTTGTAATGCCTGTGACTCGTCTACACAGAGTCAGTAATTCTTTTTATGGACAATGTATACGCTTGTACAACAGGATCCCAGAAAACGTTCAAAAAGCTTCTATCGCCAAATTAAAAAAAATGTTAAAGAACGTTTGTGTGCTAAAGGCTATTATACAATAAATGATTTTATAGAAGATGGCACACCTTGTGAATGAAATGATCGCCTCCAGGCTACTTCAACTTTATAGAAATATTGTAAATTATAATTTTACTTTAAAAAGTTAGTAAATTGTCTTTTTTAAATAATAGCAATCTAAATTAAAATTATTATTCTTAATTAATTTTAACGTTTTAAATTACACATAGAACAATTATATGGCTTAAATAATTAATATTATATTTTATTTTTATTTTTTATGATTATAAATATAATAACAACAACAACAACACTAAATATACATTACTAATTAATATTTTTAAAATTGTAATAATTATAATGATACCAGCAAAAATTAAATAAATAATATTCTATATTCAATTATAAAACTAATTAAAATTATAAAAATGTTTAAAAGTTATAAAATATTGTAAGGTACTTGGTACAAATTTTCATTATGTTATTTGTGGGTAGGCTGTCTGTAACAACTATTCCTTCGAGACATCTAACACCTCAGTCTCTCCCGTGACCATGGATGCTGTAAAGCATTCGAAACATCGGGAACCAAAAAATCAAAATAAATCCGCGAAATAATCCGAAAAAATAGTTTTATTTAGAATGTCAAATATTCGCGTAAATCTAATAAAGAATTAAGGCGTACACTGTTAATTCTTGTCACTTTTACTACTCCTAAATAATAAGAATTGAACATTACATACATTGATCACGGACATTTTATTATTTTTCTCGAAAAATAATCTGTACAATACTATTTTTAATTAAAAATGGATACTATAAGCAAAATCGATATTTAATTTTTTTTCTTTTTTTTTACTTGCATATTTTAATAAAAAAAAATTAATCCTAAAACTGATCAAAGTCACGCCATTTATCCGGTACTTAAAAACAAGATTTAAAATTTAAAATTACTGAAATATGAGCGGGATGCTGTTATTGTCTGATCAAAATTAAGTTTCTTCTTTAGTCCACTTTAGTTATACCTTACCTACCTGCTTTTTAAGTCTCAATATTTAACACCCGTAATAATGACCAGTCCTAGCCGATATATTTATTAATATAATGTGTGAGTAAAATATTAATATGTTTTTAGAACTATAGTTACACATCTCATAGTATGTTCATTATCGAAGATATGTGTTTAGAGTAAACAAGCATGTAATGAAAAACTAATACGTTGCTAAATTACGCAACACGGCCTTGATGAGTCTCAGAGCTTTGAATGCCTACTTCCTCACCATTTATAATTACAAACTAACCATCAAATATTCTGTGATTTAACATCATTCACTAAAAACGCACGATTTATATAAAGTGCTCAGAGTCACAGCGATCACGTTTTGAAACATAATTATAGACTACAGATACCTACATAGAAATAGATGTACAAGAACACATCATAATTATTCACGGTTTTATAAATTTTAACATATTGGCAATGATGTTTGAACATCAACAAAGTGCCTCCTCAAATCCGCCAGAGTTGCAGCAAATGTTGCTAAGACGGAGGCTGTGCGCTAAAATATCATGTAGGTACTTAGACAAATTTTCAAAATACCAAAAAATATATATCAACTATTTGATTTTAAGAAATATGATATTACAATTATAATATATGATGATGTTCTCCTAGCCGATTCCGGCCATGGCGGCCAATCTCAATGAGATTAGCCAACTGCGCAGGAGATATTATAGTGCTCAAGTGTACGCGCAGACACAAGGCACTCTCTATTCCTATCACTCTCATACTCCTTTGGGACGACCACTCGACACGACCGGTGAGAGTTAAGGCGCAGGACCGACGGCTTTACGTGCTCTCCGAGGCACGGGGGTGAAACACCGCCAACTTCCCAACTCCGGGCTGTTACTGAGACTTACTATACAGGAAGACTCAATAACTAAACTTGGCCCGACCCGGGACTCGAACCCAGGACCTCCGGGTGTGCAGCCGTACATGCTAGCCACTACACCACCGAGGCAGTATAATATAGGCAGTAAATAGTACATAAATGTACAATATGCATGTAGGTATTAAAATATCTGCTGCTGGTAAAATAAAATTTGTAAATAAATAAAGGTTAAGTCTAAATATAAGGTATATATTATGCTATGAGTCTCTGTTTACATATTTAAGATCTTTTTGTAAATATTGCCTGAAATATATGATTAAATAAATAAAAATAAAAAATTAAATTAATAAAGTTACAGCATTCGGAAGTTCCAGACCAGGACGAGGAGGAGGTCCTCAATCCTCATTGTACAATAAACTCGCGCGTCAGCAGTAAGCCTTCAAAATTTATTACCTACTGTATTTTCTTATTTCGAGCGATAGTAAACAAAATCCGCTACAGGTATTTACACACTATAGATATTTACGAGTATTACTACAAGAAGCAAAAGACCACATAAGGACATATACTCGTAATTACACTACCATCTCATTTATCATATTTGGTACTTTATTTTTGGTCTGTTGCTTGTTTGTAATTTTTGTTGTTGAAATTGTTGAAAGATAATGTTATTTGTTCGTTTGTTGTCTGTTCACCATTGCTAACCCAAAAATCTGATTACAACGAGTTTTTTGATATAAGAGTTACTATGTTCAAAAAAAGAAAAGAGCTCAACCTAAAAGACCTAACAAAAAGAAACTGATTTTTTTCAGTGCTTTGTCATTCTGAGATATAATATTTCAGTTGCGAGAGAGCTCTTTGTTTTTGAAAATTCGTGGCATCTAACGAGTAATACGTCGTAATTCGTATCTTCTCAAACATGTTTGATGTTCATTTGACGGATGATCTCTTATCAACAATCACTCGCGATAGTGAGCAAACCACGAGCTTAAAAGTAAAGTATGTAAAGCTGACGCCTTCGTAATCTGAGTGTGAACAAACAAAGCCTAAATGATACACGCGCGGTGTTTGCAAACAGAGGACCCATGAGTCATCGAAAGTGGGTCAATACCCAATACTTCTATAATTATTATGAGCACAATGACTTAAATGACTATCATTCGGGGTACGTCGCCGCGTGCGGCGTGCAAATAGGTCACTTGATGTTTCATGTCATAGTTAACTAGGTTTAGCATAACCTAGATAGAATTTTTAAAATTTATCACAAGAATACCCTTTTTAATTAAGGATGATACTTAATAAAGCTATTGTGCGACGCAGATTACAGAAGAGTTACGAAAGGCACACACCGTGTAGTTAGGACCAGAACACAGCGAGACCACGTCTCTTGTTAACACATAAACCGAAGATTAGTGATACTTCAGTGATAATATATCTATGACAGTGTAATTTGCTTCTGTAATAAAATATGAAATTGGACACTAAATGCGGTTGGCTTCGACCTGCGGCCGCGCCGCCGGCGGCCACCTGCTCTCTATCAGGTCAGCTAATATGGTAATTAGGATGCACTCGCCAGTGTTTACATTTGTATTTATAATAAATATAAGCAATTATGTATTATAGTGCAGTGCGCCGCATGTTACTCTTTCTACTGGGCTAGGTACCGTAGAGTCAATTTCCACACACCTATTGATATCAACAATAATTATAATCTATGATTTTGTTAATATTAAGTACATGACTTTCTTTAGATATTATATTAAAAAAATAGTTTACATTGACTTACAATTAAAAAGCAGCAATTTTTGTAACTTAAGTTTGAAATAAAATGTAAATATTTATTGTTTTTGCCATTTTAAGCGGAAATAAGGCGACTGAGCTCCCGACGCGGCGCGCGCGCGTCACGCACTTACTTGATAAAATGTTAAATTAATAAATGACATCACGTACCCTTCTATTAGACACGAAAATATGTTCATTGTTCAGCCTTCGATTAGGAGATGCGTGTCAAACGACTTGCGCAACACTTCTTATTAACTCTAGAGGTTACGACCAAAACAAAAACTATCGACCTAAAGTGTGAACATGCAACACTCATTAGCGACTACATCCGAGCTATAAACAAATACCCACTACATAGCAATAATATATACATATAATAAAATTGTAACTAAGCCGAATCTGTACATTAAATCTTTTTTGGAAAATCTCATTGAAATAGACATTATTATCGATACAGAGGTCGAATGTATAGTTTTTAGAATTTTTGTCTGTATGTCTGTCTGTTACCGCATCACGGAAAAACCACTGAAGGGATTTTGATAAAATTTGGTATGGTGATAGCTGGTTATCCGGGTCAACATATAGAATACTTTTTACCACGGAAAAATATCTTATTTATGAGAAAAAATACAAAAACTGCAATGTAAGAGTATACTAATATGCAAAACCTAAGAATTTGGTTTTTTGTCATCTGAACGCGGGCGGAGCCGCGGCCAATGTATGTACAAAAAAAATGGGTGCGTGTAAACTTTACGGTTGAAGTAAAACTTCTTTGGCAAATATCGCAATTAAACTAAAATAAATTAATAATTACAATCATATATTTATAGAATACATATACGGAAAGAGTATAATATTATATATTTGTTGAAGTTTCACTTCAAAAAAATTCAAATAGTCTCTAAAGGTCTTGTTAAGAAAAGTATTCAATTGCATTGTACTCAACAAGACCTTCGTTCAACCTTCACGCTATCCTCATAAAGACTACTACTACTTCCGGTAAATTTCTTATTTATGTATTATAAACAATAATTTAAATGTATGTATATACTATTATGATTAGTTCGTTAATGATGTTTTTACCCATTTTGAGAGCATGTTTAATCGGGTCAGTGATCTTTTATATATATTGTATGGATACAGTTTTAAAAATGTAGTATAAATGAGAAAGTTTGATTGTTAATTTATTCTTCTATCAAGTAGCAACGGAAGTAGCGATGTAATTTTTTGCATATTTTTTTTTTCTGCCTGTTCTTTCGTTCGTGCGTTGTTTATAATTTAAAAAACTGTCAAATAGACTGAAATTGAATCAATCATTGCAAGTGACAAGATTTTTTGTATGTCAGTGTAATAACAAAAATTTAAATTACAGTACATAATATCGGGTTTTATTTAAACTGCAATGATTATGCATATGATTAAAATTTTGTGAATTAAAAAAATGGGTGTCTTTTGAACAAAAAGTCATTTTTTGTATTATAACGAGTAGGAGTGTCTCAACTGACACCTGTGCACCGGAAATGAGGAGACACCTTGGAAATTGATGTGTAAGAAAAGTTTATTTATTTTTTGCACACTTATAACGTATAGTAGCTATATATCATGTAGGTAGTAGGAAAAGGTAAAACTTATCAATTAATTTTATCACCTCGGATATTTGCAATTAGTAATCAAAAACAATATAGGTACTATGACTCACCTTCCAGATATTCTAGAAAATTTACAACCGAGGTAGGGTAATGGCTGTCCTTAAAATATTAACAATATTAATCAATCATATTCGTCCGACGCGCTAGCGCGAGTGCCACCGGGTCGAGCTCATCACCCCGTTGCTCCTGATCCTGTTTTAGATGTTTATTACGTACTAGCATTGCCCGCGGCTCCGCCCGCGTTCAAATGACCAAAAACCAAATTCTTAGGTTTTACATATTAGTTTATCCGAGTCAACATAAAGGATACTTTTTACTGCGGGAAAATATCTCATCTCTGAGACATCTATACTAAACGTTAAAATGTAACTAGAGACGAACCCGAGCGGAACGAGGGTGAGTTACTAGTAATAAATATGGAAAATAGTTAAGCTTTTTGCTAACTCAAAAAGGCTTATAAAAATATGATTTAATTTTGCTATAGAGAAATATATTACGTTTAATATTTTTCTCATAAAATGATACCATCTACAATCACAACATACTCGTACATAGTCAACGCAAAATATATTAGAGTATATTGAACTTTTGACTTATTTTCCCTGCAATTAAAATTATTCTAATTCAATGCTGTTGATTGCCTCCCAGATAGATTTGTTACATCATTTATTTAATCCAATATACATTAACACTATAACTATGCATATAGTATAGTATGGGAATGTACTTATGACTTATTATCGATCACAAAGGCCAATATCACTAAGACAATGGTAGTCCAGTGGTAACGCGCTTGCTTGTGAAACCTTGTCAAGTGTGTTCAAATCCAGGGTGGGTTCATCCCGTACCTCTGATATTTTCATGTTCTAATGATTTTCAACATGATTACCACTTTCCTAATAGTGGACGAAAATATCGTAAGGAAACCTGCATGTTTTTAGAGATCTTTGAAAGTTTTCGAAAGACGTGTGACGTTCGCTAACCTGCACTTCGCTACAGATACTTTTAAAATAAATAATTTGAAATAAAATATCTAAATTCTACTAATTAACGGTTTAATTAAGATACTAATACATACCTATAAATTAGATTTTTCTGATTAGAGCATCGGTAAATTTTCGAATTCGTTGTTATTCATGGACTCGTGCCATTCACATGCAAGCCTGTTTACCGCTTTGTAACGCTATTTTAAATGAATTTATCAAAGTACCGCAATAAAATATCTAACATGCTAATTCTTAGATTCTTTCTTAACGGTTGTGCGGCGTGGGTATGTCAGAGTCTCTCATTTGTCCGATTTGAATAACTAAATGTTTGTATCGACCGCACAGATATATTATTTACTTGTAGGCTTAGAAAATTTACATTTTTCTGTCACCATTGCTACGGATACTACTATCTTACTTAACTCTTTACCTGCGACGAAATAATGCCTTATATGTCTTATTTTTTATCTAGAACTTCTAAATTTCCAAATCTTGGCTGGCTCTCAGTGGGTTTTCTACCGACTGTACAATAGAGTGTTCTGATGAACTTGTTGTTCAGGTAGGTACCACCGTCATATTTATACCGCCACACTTTTCTCCGTTGGGTTGAAAGTCATCTTAGATGATTCGCATCCAACAAATGTACGTGCCTACCGTTCAATCCTGCCTCGCATGTGCAAGTTGGTAAAACGATCATGCTCCTAAAGTTTTCCTAGAGCTTTATAATAATCAGGTCTCTTAAAAACTGGTATCATATCTGCGATTCCCCTTACATTGTAATGAGCGACCATCGCCACTTAACATCAGGTGGATCATCGCTTGTTCGCAATTTTATCTATAAAAAAATATGCCTATAGATATTTTTTTTATATTTCCTATAGTTGATGGGTTTTTAGATGGAGAGTGACAACAATCAGCCGGAGCGTTGCTATTAGACAGAGGGTTGCGGCGGTCATCTTCTTGAGATTGGTAGAGACGGCGGTTAGCGCAACGCAACACATCCGCTACGAATCGCTAGCGATCATTTTAATTATTTTATGGTGAAAAACTATTGCTTCAAATGGAATTACTATTTATCTGATTGTTACTTAAAGAGTATGTTTTCCATCTGGTCGCGGCTCGCGCGTGTACTTACTACCCACTACCCATGCTTTACCATGAATACTTCTAAAAACAGCCTTACTGCGCCTTTATACTTACTGGTACCAATATTTTTATAAATAATACTTACTTTGATTTATAAAAATATACATACATAGTTGTATATTTTTATAAATGAAAGTTAATTGATGTGGCCTTTCATATGAATATTTTAAATCTGTTTATACTTTAAGTTCAATAAATATTATGAATCTATAAATAAGCACTCGTAATTCAAGTTCTTTTAGAAAATCAAAATAAGCGAACATCATAAAAAGGGCAGTTGGTGCAGCTGCGGGCACTTCAGCCACAAGTGCGGGCGGTCGTAAGATCTATACATAACTTTATTTATATATGATTTATATATTGCTTAAGTACCTACTGATGATGGATTTCCTCAGAACAAACACTAACACATGGTTTTCCGCTAAGAAAATTTTTTGCATGCTAAATAATATTTAAGCTTTAAGGTATTTAACCTAGAAGCTGTACCACTACTTGGAAGCAAAAAATATCACATTTATTGCAAAAACCCAACTTACAAATTGAGTCACGTGAATGAAATATTATACCTAATGTACAGAATATCCAAATGCGATAAGGATACATATGTACATATATATGTATTATATTCATTTGCATAGGTCATTAATTTAAATGTTTAATTTTCTAAAATTTAGGGAGGGGCAAGGTCAACTTCGCGTATATATTTATTTCTGTTATATTTCCAAATCACAAAAGATTTAACCTTTTCTTTATAGCTACATACCTATAAAAAAGTCATAGGCAAACCTGTCTGTTCGTTACCTTTCACAGCCTGTGAGACGACCGCGTTCAAACGCTATGTGTAACTTATATTATAATTCATAACTATTTATTTGTTTTCTGTGAAAGGTTTAAAAAATATTTTATCATTTTCAGCTCGTTTCGTTTTAAACAGCCCACTGCTGGGCACAAGCCAAGGAGGAACAGACCATAGTCCACCACGCTGGTCAAGTGCGGATTGGCGGTCTTCACAGGCCTTTTGAAAACTTGCTACGATATTTTCCTTCACCGTGAGGCAAGTGGTAATCATGTTAGGAATGATTCGCTCATGAAAACATCAGAGGTGCGAGACCCGGTATTTGAACCCGCTTCACTCTGTTTCCCAAGCGAGCGCGTTACTATTGCACTGCCTCATATAATAATACATATATAAAAAATAGATCAGTTAATCATCATTATAAAATATTTCCATATCACATTTTACTCTAATCCGTAGGGGCATACAAAAGTTTCGAACAAAGTGTCTCTCAAGGAAACAGTTTGAGGACATTAGTGTGAGTTACGATCGACACACTGTCGTCTCGTCTCACCGGCCGTCGCGCCGCGCGCCACCACCTAACGTGACACAAACTATGACAAGCATTTCAGCTATAACAAACCCTTCATCTACTGTCTGACTACTCCGCAAGTAACTTTAACTGACTCGGTGGTGTAGTGGCTAGCATGTACGGCTGCACACCCGGAGGTCCTAGGTTCGAGTCCCGGATCGTGCCAAGTTTAGTTATTGAGTCTTTATATCTGTATAGTAAGCCTTAGTAACAGCCCGGAGTTCGGAAGATGGCGGTGTTTCACCCCCGTGCCTCGGAGAGCACGTATAGCCATCGGTCCTGCGCCTTAACTCTCACTGGTCGTGTCGAGTAGTCGTCCCACCGGAGTATGAGAGTGACAGGAACAGAGAGTGCACGTTGTGTCTGTGCGTACACTTATGCACTATAATATCTCCTGCGCAGTTGGCTAGTCTCAATGGGATTGGCCGCCGTGACCGGAATCGGTTAGGAGAACATCACTCCGCAAGAGATACCTATAGGTAGTTGTTATGTCAAATTATCTGTATACAGATCACTGGTCAGTGTGTTTGAGGTTTTCTCCATTCGACCCCTAACACACGTATCAGTATCTATATACACTTAAACGTAATATGTCAAATCGCGAGGCGGGGCCTTGTGCGGTGAGCGGCGATTGTCACCCAACCACTATTTATTTATATCATCTCAAAATAAAACACCAACGGCTATTATAATTTTGAAACGAAGGTCGTGTAAAAAAGGAAATTTCTAGAATGATTGATTATACTATTTGCCACATATTTTTTTAACATTCACAACTCATCTCTCTAAGATCAATATATTAAAGTTTTAAGTCCAGAAAGAAATTGCGAAGGTGATTTTAAAAATAAAAATAAATTATAGCCTAAAGGTGGATGAATCTTTTCGCGATATTTATATGAGACTTTTTATATGCAAATATTTATATGGGACAACATAATAAGTATATAATAGACGAAGGTATCGAGAAACATACTCCGAAATAAAGAACTCTTTTTTGAAGTTGGTAAAAATCTAAAAATATTTTAGATACTTAGTAATTACTTGAACTTACAGTCTGTGTGAAGTTTTGAAATTGAAAATTATTAGTATTCGAAGTTCCTTTGAGCAAAGCGCGGGCCCAAGCTCGTTTAGAGGAAACCTAATGCATAATTTCTATCATGCTCATCTAGATACCATGCTGTTTTCAGAGCAATCAATAATCTTACGTGCATAAACATTTTGCTTCAATATTTATATCTAAAAGTCAGTTGTAGTGAGCAAAGCCAGGGGCGAACGCTAGTGCGCGGGTATTGCATGTCCCTCGTGGCTGCGCACTGTGGGCTCAATGCTCACGTTACCGAGAGCGTGCGGTAACCCGACGCCGACGCGTATGGCATTGGGAGGTGTATCGTGTGCCACTCATTGATAACTCATTTTTACAATTTGCTCTTGTAATTGAATTCGGTGCTTATTCTAGTCAAAGTGCTGGCATGTTTACGCTTTGCCTGTTTTTAATAAGGTTCTTTTATCGGTAATAAAACGAAGTAGATAGTATGAAATATTATTTAAAAAGGATTGCGAAATGGCAAAGTCTCATTATCTGAGTAACAAGATAGAAAATAGTGGTAATAAAATTAAAGCTACATGGAAAATAATTAACGAGGAAACTGGAAAGACTAAAACTCTAAACAATAGCTTTAAATTAAATATAGATAATAAATACATTAGTTCTGACTCTGAGGTAGCCGCCGCGTTTGAAACCTTTTTTACCGACATACCAGTTTCCACTACTAGGTCTCTGAACTCTTCACCTGCCACTGCGATCAAATTATTGGATCAAAATGTGGAAGAATGCAATATTAGCTTTAAGTTCGAAAATATAAATGCACAACAAATTATAAATGTATTTAAATTACTGAATGTTAAAAAAACAAAAGATCTTTGGGGAATTTCTGTTAGCATCCTTAAACCACTTATTGATGTTGTTGCATCTGACTTAGCATTAATATTTAATAAGTGTGTAGAATCTGGTGTGTTTCCTGACTTAATGAAACTTAGTAAAATTATTCCTTTGTTTAAATCGGGTTGTACCTCTGATGCCACTAATTTTAGGCCTATTTCAATATTACCTACATTTAGTAAAATCTTTGAAAAAATAATGTTAACTCAAATTACGAAACATTTTTATAATAATGAACTATTACATGTAAAGCAATACGGTTTCACTCGCGGTCGTTCAACAGCCGATGCTGGAGTCGCGTTACTTCTAAATATATTTGAGGCCTGGGAGGAGTCACGTGATGCACTTGGCATTTTCTGTGATTTGTCCAAGGCATTTGATTGCGTTCATCATGAAACGTTGGTCAGAAAATTACACCACTACGGAATTAGAGATAAGGCTCTGGATTTACTTAGATCATATTTGAATGAAAGAATCCAGAGGGTAGACGTGAATGGAAAGCGTTCCCCTGGATCAGTTGTTGAAATGGGTGTACCACAAGGTTCAATTTTGGGTCCTTTTTTGTTCCTCATTTATATAAATGACCTACCATACCTCGTAAAGGATGACCACGGGATAGTTTTGTTTGCTGATGATACATCTTTAGTTTTTAAAGTTAACAGACGACAAGCAGTAATTGACGATGTGAACATTGCTTTATCCAAAGTGGTACAATGGTTTAATGTCAACAACCTTTTACTAAACGAGAAAAAAACAAAATGTGTAAAATTCACTTTACCAAATGTTAAAAGTGTAAAAACCAATGTACGACTGAATAATGAGGAACTAGATCTAGCTGATACCACTGTATTTCTAGGCATTACATTAGATGCCAAACTCCAATGGGGCCCTCATATTTCTCAATTATCGAATAAGCTCAGTTCTGCAGCCTACGCGGTTAAGAAATACGTCAATTAACAAATGTAACGACAGCTAAGTCAGTATACTTTAGCTATTTTCACAGCATTATGTCATATGGTATTTTACTATGGGGTAATGCTGCTGATATTGACACAATTTTTGTGCTACAGAAAAGGGCTGTTCGAGCTATATATAATTTAGGCCCAAGAGAATCTTTGCGGAATAAGTTTAAAGAAATTAAAATAATGACTGTACACTGCCAATACATCTATCAAAATCTAATATATGTACATAAAAATATTGATAAATTCAAGAAATATAGTGACCTGCATAATGTAAACACTAGAAACAAAAATAAGCTAGTTCAGCCCACCACTAGGCTCCATAAAATTGGTAATTCCTTTATTGGTAATAGTATTCGCTTTTACAATAAACTACCAGATGATACTTTAAAACTGTCAATAAATAAATTTAAAATTTACATTAAAAGACAATTAATAAATAAATCCTATTATAATGTAAAGGATTATTTAAGTGATAAAAAAGCTTGGGAATGAATTGCTCTTTATACTGAAGTAAGGATGTTTGTGAAACAATGATCACAATAAAAAAAATGTTACTTGGCTGAGTTTCTTGTGGGTTCTTCTCAGACCAGGGCGCGTTACGAACCCTCGTAGCTTTAGTTTAAGTCTTCTAATTGACGTACACAAGTGATCATTGAATTGATACAATGTGTAAAAAGAAGTAAATAAATAAAAAAATGAAACAAGCCTATACTCGAAAATATGTATGTATATAGGTACACAAAGAAATGACTATTACCTACAAATGATGCTTTGATATTCTTTAAGCCACAATGATTAAAACATATTTAATGCTAAATCTTACGTTTGTACAAATGAGTCACCTTTTTACAGAATTACAAATATCTTTGTAACTATCCACACTATAGCAAATAAGGTTTATATTTTACAGACTAGGTATGTGTATCTTTAAATTGACATAACTTTTTTATTCATCTACCGATTAAAATAAAACAAATACTAAATATTAAGTAAAGCTTACCACAATACATTAGTGAAAACCACACCTAAATCGGTTAAGTCATTTCTGAGGTTAGCGCGTACAAACGTATAGACAAACAAACAAAAATTCTAAAAATCTTTGTTTTGTGTTTTATCGTGTTAATAAAGACCCCCTAGTTATATCTTATCTCAAATATCTTCCATGTACAAACACTTTTATTATATGTATAGATAGATGGCAACATTTCACAGAACTATACACATAACATTACACAAAATAGTATCTGTGACTGTCACATTATATTAATTCAATAAATTAATGAGTTATTTATTTTTGACTAGCATTGCCCGCGGCTCCGCCCGCGTTCAGACACCAAAAAACCAAATTCTTAGGTCTTACATATTAGTATACTCTTACAATACAGTTTTTGTATTTTTTATGTTGACCCGGATAACCAGCTATCACCATACCAAACTTCATCAAAATCCCTCCAGTGGTTTTTCTGTGATGCGGTAACAGACAGACAGACAAAAATTCTAAAAACGATTGATTCGGCCTCTGTATCGATAATAATGTTTCTTTCAATAAGATTTTCCAAAAAAATTTAAGTGTACAGATTCGGCTTATTTACAATTTTATTATATGTATAGATAAATCTACTCATCTGTCAACTTTTGATGAAAAGTAATGACATTTTCTTAACCTTCCTTTATAAAATAAATACCTCATTTTGAATATATGTACATACATTTATATAAATATGGAACAATAATCAAAACGAATGAATGGTGTTATTAGGACAGAAATACGCAGACAGCACAACTCATATGAAAAGCTCTTCTCTATAATCAGTTAAAATTAACTAAATTTGCTTTAATCGAACCTTTTAGGATATTGGACATGATATCGCTATTACGCCAAGTCTCGGCGGACGAATTCACGCAACGATAACTGTTGCGAGCACGAACATACAGCAAAAGAACACGATGATAATTAAACTTTTTGTGATCCTTTTGGGAACTGGTATTTAATTAGAGGCGCTTGTAGATTAAAAGAAGATTGACCTATTGAAGTAACTAAATCATATCTAGAGTTCCGTACCCAATGATGAAGACGGAACCGTTTTACTATGCCTGTACGTTTATCCGTCCGTTCGTAAAACCGGAGGTACTCAATTCCTCTATATATAATATATAAATAT